TTTACACGTGGTTATTCACTCGTCCCAGCACCGTTGTTGAAAAGACTATTCTTTCACCCTTGAATTGTCTTGGCACCCTTATTGAAACTCAATTGAATATAAATAAAAGTTTATTTCTATATTCTTAATTCTATTCCATTGATCTGTAGCTTCTTGACAGTAATACACTGTCTTGATTACTGTTGGTTTGTAGTAAATTTTGAAATGCGGAAGTGTGAGTCCTCCAACTTTATTCTTTTTCAAGATTGGTTTAGCTATTCTTGGTCCCCTGGGTGTCCGTATGATTTTAGTGTCAGCTTGTTAATTTCTACAGAGAAGCCAGCTGGGATTTTGACAGGGATTGTTTTGAATCTATAGATCAATTTGGGGAATACTGCTGTCTTAAGATATTATCTTCCAACCCATGAACATGGGATGTCTTTCCATTTATTTAGGTCTTCTGAAATTCTTTCACCAGTGTTTTGTAGTTTTCAGAGTGTAAATTTTGCACTTTAGTTAGATTTGCTCCTAAGTATTTTATTCTTTTTGATGCTATTGTAAATGGCATTTTTTTTAAAGATTTTATTTATTTGACAGAGAGAGAGAGTGCACAAGCAGGGGGAGCGGCAGGCAGAGGGAGAAGTAGGCTCCCCACTGAGCAGAGAGCCTGATGCTGGGCTCGATCCCAGGACCCCAGGATCATGACCCAAGCCTAAGGCAGACGCTTAACCAACTGGGCCACCCAGGCGCCCCAGTGGCATTTTTTCTTGATTTCATTTTCAGTTTGTTCATTGCTCCTGTATAGAAATAAAATTAATTTATTGATCTTGTACCCTGCAATTTTGCTGAGCTCATTTATTAGTTCTAATAGTTTTTTAGTTAATTCCTTAGAATTTTCTATATATACAATCTTGTCATCTGCGAAAGCATAGCATCTTTACCCTGCAAATCTATATATAGAAAGAGTCTCAGGAAACCAAGCCTTTAAGCTTAGGTTTCACCCAGAAGTAAAGACCTGGTTCCTGGGGCGCCTGGGTGGCTCAGATGGTTAAGCATCTGCCTTCAGCTCAGGTCATGATCCCAGGGTCCTGGGATCGAGTCCTGCATCGGGCTCCCTGCTCCTTGGGAGCCTGCTTCTCCCTCTGCTTCTCTCTCTCTCTCTCCCTCTGTCTCTCATGAATAAATAAATAAAATATTAAAAAAAAAACTAGTTCCTGAAGTCCTTGGACAAACTCAGCTTATAAATATTATGAAGCCTGTCAATGATTCATAAAGGCTTTCCAAGAGCTGAAGAGCCTGAACTTTCAGCCAAAAGGGTATGTACTGTAAAAAGAATAAAACTTCCAGGATTTCTAGAATATCTGTGCCATGGGGCTGTCACTTGTAAGTTTTCATTCCTCGTCGAAGGATAGTGAGAAACAGGGCATATTGCAGTGGTTAAGCACACGAGGACCTTAGATTCAGAAAGAACAAGCTATCAGCCAAATCTAGAGTAGGAGACATTCTACTGGGCAAATGATCTGGCTTCTCCATGAAATCAATTATAGGAAGAAAAAAAAAGTATGTGTGTTTGGGGGAGTGCAAGTAGGGATGTGATTGTCAATACAGTACACTCAATAACAACCAAGTGCAATGTGTAAAACTGTTTGGACACTGATTTGAATAAACTAACAGTAAAAAGACACCTTTAAACAACTGGAAAAATTTAAAAATGGACTGAATAGTAAATGACAGTAAGAAACAATTGTTAATTTTGTTTCGCATGCTAATAGCATGGTGATTATATAAAAAAAATCCTCCAAGATGTATAATGACTCTGAGTGAAATGATATCTGGGGTTTGCTTTAAAATACTAAATTAAAAAAAAAATGGAAGAGGAATGATGACATAAGATTGGAAAATGGTGATAATTGTTCAAGATGGATAATGGGTACCTGAGGCTTCACTCTGCTACTCCCTCTCCTTTTGTATATGTTTAAAATGTTCCATAACATAGAGTTAAAAATAATGATAAAATGTATAAAAGGAGACAGAAAAAGAAAAGACCTGTGTATGAGTCCTAGCTCAGCCATTTACTGGCTAGCTTATCTTGGGCAAGCTATTTGACATCTGTAAAATACCAATAATAAGAGTACTATGTGTAAGGCATTTAACATGGTATAAGCTGCATAGTAAAGCTCAATAAATGTTAGCTAATATTGTTATTATTAAAGAAATAAAAAATTATATGACAGATTTAAATGTACGATCACTTTAAAACTTTGTGTTAAAATATCAACCATTAATTGCAGTCTTTTTTGTAACTGAGAACACTGGAAATATAAATTTTGACTTATTGGGATTCAGTTAAATTAATTGGAATTTCATGCATCTATAAAAATAATAACGTTTCTAGGCCAGGATCTATCAACTCTCGCATCATTTTGGAAGTTTTATCTAATGCAAACAGACAGGAAGAAATTAGAGATAAAAATCAGGAAGAAAAGGGTAAAATTTACCTCTGTGGGTAATACACTTGTGTATTCAAAAAAACCCAAGAGAATCAACTGAAAAATGTATAAACAAAAAGACAATTCAAGGTAAGGTATCTGAGTATAAAAACTAACATAACAGAAATCAACAGCTTTGGGCGCCTGGGTGGCTCAGTTGGTTGAATGGCTGCCTTCGGCTCAGGTCATGATCCTGGAGTCCCTGGATGAAGTCCCGCATCGGGCTCCCTGCTTGGCAGGGAGTCTGCTTCGTCCTCTGACCCTCCCCACTCTCATGTGCTCTCTCTTTCACATTCTCTCTCTCTCAAATAAATAAAATCTTAAAAAAAAAAAAAAGAAACCAACAGCTTTCAAATATACATCTAATTAGAAATTATGTTAGAAAGACCCCATTTAAACTGCAAAAATTAAAAAAAAAAACCTGCAAAAAATAATAATAATAAAAGGTAAACATCCTGGCTTGCAAAAAGGTTAGCAAGAAATGGGCAATATTTTTAAGGGCACAAAAGAGTACTTGAAAAAATATAAAGGCATTTCTTATTCTTAGATAGTAAGAATCAGTAGTATAAAGAGGTCAATTTTCCCTAATTAAGATATAAATTTAACGTGATCTAGATAAAAATACTAGCGGGATTTTTGATAAATTGACAAGCTGATTCTAAAGAGCACATGGAAAAAATAAAAAGCAAAAATATTCAGGAAGAATTCTAGAAAAGGAGGGTAATAAGAGGAAGACTAATCCATTAGATAGGAAAACACAGTATAAATGTGTGATACTGATCAAGTATACATATTAACGTATCAGAATAGAGAATCTAGGTATCAATTCAAATACATACAGGAAGAGAGTAAATTTGTTGTTCACTTATCCGTACAAAAGGAAATTCTAAAGAATGTTATTTAGGCAGAAGGAAAAAATCCCAGATCAAAATGACAGAACAGTTTGGATTTGCCCGGTGGGGAGTCAGACATCTCTCAAGCTCATCTTTAGCACTTCCAAAGCTCAACAAAAACTACTTGCAGATTGCTGAAAGTTCTCTTTCATGCCTATACATTTGAATATGCTACCCTTTGGGTGTGGAAGGCCTTTTCCCACCTTCCCATCTGCCAAACTCATACTTAAACTTCAAAAAAGTTCAGGAGTCATTCTTCTGTGCAGTATTCTTTCTTTGAGAAGGAGAATATGTGCAGTGTCTCCTAAATGTTGACTTTTCTCCAATTTCTTGCATCTCCATTTTGTTCTCCATCTGTTATTTGTTCTTTACAACACTGCCTGCCGGAGGGATGTTGCTAAAATATAGATCTGATCATGTCTTGTCTCCGGCTCAAAAATATTCGATGCCCACTAAATGCCTGTGTATCTATAAAATAAAGTATGAAGTTCTTGAGACATAGAAGGCATTCAAGGCCTTCCAGGATTTAACTCCAATCCACTTTGCTCAGCTCAGTCATCTGTAGTAGCCTATAGATGCCTTTGCACCCTACTCTGGGGTCACACCAGCCCTCGCCATTCCTGCAGCTCTCTAGGCACCCCTGTTCACCCAAAATTTTCTGCCTGATATTCCCTTCCTCCCTCCCTCTACCCCATCCCCACACCCATTTTTCTGCCCATTCAGATCTTTCAAAGCTCTGTTCTCATTGAAGCCTCATCTAAAATCCTATTAAGAATTAATGATTCATTCCTGAGCTTGCATAATTAGGATTTGTTTCATTATGGATGGTGGTGTTTATATGTCTGTCACTAGTCTATAACATTCTTGAGGTCAGAGCCATGTCTTACTAATTTGTTTCATCCTCCTACCCTGAAATACACTGTTTACCACAGGGTAATAAATATTTACACACAAAAATAAATAATTTTTGTGTAGAATGAAATAAAATAGTGCCTGACACCTGATAAGTATTGAATAAATGTGAACTCTTTCTAGTGGTGATAATAGGTGCTCAATAAACATTTTGTGAAAAATGGCAAAACTGGTTGTGCTGATTTATTATTTTTAGTCAGCCACTTTCTTTTAGAGTTAATACTGCTTGGAAACCATTATAAAGAGTTTTAGTGTCCTCTTTTGATGACAGCAAATGTTTAGATTGTAGAGCCTCAGAAAGGGCCTTAAGATATTTTTCAAGACCCAGGTTTATGTGTCACTTAATCTGGTTCCCCTACAGATAGAATTAAATATTGAAGTCTCCTTATATTCATGGAATCCCCAAAATTTAGAAAGCTCTTAGTACATAGTAAGCACTTCATAAATGTTGAAGAAATGAACAAAATAAATGAATTAGGATGAACTGTTTATGTGAGAGACTCTCCAAGCAAACTGGGAGCACATCAAATATAAGGAATATATATTTTTTGTTTTTGTTTTGTTTTAAAGTTTTATTTATTTAAATAATCTCTACACCCAACATGGGGCTCAAACTTACAACCCCAAGATCAAGAGTTGCACACTCCTCCGACTGAGCCATGCAGGCGCCTCAGATTTTTTCCCCATCTTTCTGTCTCCAGCACCTAGCAAAGTATCTGACACAAAATGAATGTTTACTAAATAGGTATTTATTAAATTAGAGACAAGAGATAAATACTTGGTTTACTTTAAAAATACAAAGAAGGAAAAACACATTTATTGTATCACATAAACTTGTACCAAAGATCTATGAATAGATTTATGAATTGGGGTGGAAAACATAGAAATTTCTATCTTCATGATATAGAAGAAGTGAACTTGGAGACTGAGAGGTCAGGTCACCTTATTCCTTTAGGTGGTTAAAGCTAACTAGTCACTGTGAATGAGAATCTACCTGAAGATCTCTAGCCTCTGATTTTGCACAGCATCAGCTGCAGGACAACAGTCCGCAGGCTGTGTCACACCTCCTAGCCTAAGAATGCACACCTGTTAGGGAAATTCCTACTGCGGCCACAGTGAAAAATAAAGGCCTTGGGTGGAGAGAAGGAAAGTAGTAGGGGTGTCACTTGAAGCACAAACGGGGAAATTGAATGGACAATCTCTACATTGCTACATCTGCTTCAAGAAAAGCACACCAACTCCCTTCCAAAGTACATTAGTATGTCGCACCATCATGGAAGGAATGGAAAAGCAGGATGAGGTTGGCTGGCTGAAGTCACATCTTGGGGAAGCTGGCCAGGTTGGCAATGCCACAAGCGTTGTTCTTATTCCGAGCCATGAGGATATAGCCTTTGTTTCCCCAGTTTTCTCCCCAGCTGTAGGACCAATGAAGGAAAATACTTAGTACCCTCAGTTTATTTATTCATTAAAACACTTACTGAACATTGTGCTGATGGTATAAAAAAATGAATAAAATAGTTTTTACCTTTGAAGAGTTTAAAGGAATGGAGAGAAGGCATAATGCTCTATAGGCCTCAAAGGTAGGACAGATTGCTTGTGATCAAGGGATCAAAAAAGGCTTAATTCAAGAGGTAGCATTTGAAGTGAGCCCAAAGAAATGGGATGCCAGCAGAGGAATATTAAATGAATACTAGAGGCAGGAGAGCACGGGTCATGTGTTAAGATCACGTGGCTGAAAAATAGGGTGCCTCACAGGCACACAGTAGGAGATATGTCTGGAAAGGTAGATTGAGATCGGGTTGAATTATCTTTACGGCCAGCCTGAAGAGTTCGACTCTGTGGCCCATGCTAGTGGAGGAGACACTGAAAGTTTCAAATTGGGAGTGTAATATGGTCCAATTTGTGTTTAAGGAAGTGTAATCTTGAAAACATGAGTCTAGAGCATAAGAAAGAAATAAGAGAGGCTGAAGCAGGTGATCTTGGTCTTCGTACGTAAACCCAATAGGAGAGATGAATGAAACTATGAGAATGAATTAGATTGCTAAGGAAAGAAGTGGAGAGAATGGAAAACAAGGGGGCGCGGGAGAGGAGACTGGTCTATATATCTTCCTAAATTGTTTTCAGTCTTTCCCCCAACCAGCAAATTCTCCAGTTACCCAATACATTTTACTTAAGACCTGTACCCTACTCCTATTCCCCTCTCTAGGAGTCTCCAGTGATCCTGATCCTGCTTAAGTGTGTCCCTTATTCCTCCCAGCAATCTTGGATGCAGGCTCCACCCTTGGCACCTGACCAGGCAAGGACAGAGTAAGTACTTGGGGCTGGGAGTCGAGAAAGGGGGAAGATAGGACAGAAGCTGTGGGAGAAGGAGCACCTTCTTAGAAAGGGGCTTGGGTTTGGCCTTAGTTGGGACAGTGATCTACACAGTCTACCTGCCAGTCCTCTAGGCAGCAGCCCCACTTGCTTATAGCACTGTTTTGGCCTGTGAACTCCCCAGTGTTTAGGACTCTTGTTCCCTGGAGGCACCAAAGACAGAAAGTTTAGTTAGTGTTGTTGCCAAGCTGGTATTGGCCAATGAAGAAAGGAAAAGTGTAATTCTCATTAAGTCTGCCCCCTAAAGTCACAAGGGGCTAAAGAGGATTGGGAAACCGAAGTACTGTGTAGTTTTATTTATTCCCAACAATAGGGAAGGAAACACTAATTTTTGTTATTGTTGTCATACCTACTTTCCAAAAAGTGTTTCTCTTCACAGACTTCAAAATCTTTGGCCAGTTTTTATATATGTTATCCTAAGAATATCTGGACAGGCAAAAAGTTGCACAAGAGGATAATAAACCTTTACATTGGTTCCTTACTGCTTTCAAACAGACTGATGATGGAAAGCTTCCTAAGAAATTGATCACCTTATAGAAAAAAAGAAAGAAAAAAACTACATAATTCTAAACCTTCTGCTGGCTTCTTGGTGCTATTGTATGTTCTGGTTAGTTAGGTCTGTCTTTCTTAGGGGGCTCTGAGATCACTGAAGGCAAACATTCTGTTCCTTTCTGTACAACTAAGCACCTTGCATGTGGAGCAGCTGCCCGACACAGACTCTGAGTACTACTGTCTGGCCATTAAATGTTAGTTAATAGCCTCTAATTGGGAAGGGAGAACTAAAAAGTCTGAGACAACCTTCTCCTGAAGTGAGAGAAAGAAATATTGGGAAATTGGAGTTGAGGTTTAGTGTTAACAGGGTGATTGCGTGACAAACTTCGTATCCCCATCATTACCTGTTTTTAATGATCCAGTGCTTGTTTCCTTTCTGGATGCCATAGCCCACTGCCAACACCGCATGGTTCAGATTATCGCTATTACAGTTTTCATCATAGTACACACCTAGGGAACAAACTATCAAGGTGAAGCTTTCTGTAGTCCAAGGGCCACCCTGTAGAATCCTGCCATGTCAAGAGGATTGGTGACAGAGAGATGGCTGCACTGTAGCAGCTGTTCCATTTCCCTCGGTCAGACTCAGTCTAAATGCGGAAACTAAGTACTGCAAATGCTCAGTGGCCTTCGAGAAGGTGCCAAGCCCACATCATAAGAGATGGTTGATTGTGCTCTCTAGGAACAGATCCTTACCTTTGCTGTAAAACTGGAAGGAGGTCAGGCTTGCATCGATGGCCACAGAGATGGGTCCCACTCGGGCCACTGCCCTCTTCAGGGCCTTCTCATTCCCCTCAGGGATCTCTCTGTACCCTCTGCACTTAGCTGCCTTGCCTGTTGGGTTGTACATACAACTTTCATCCTGGAAAAAAAAGGAGGTTAAAACAGGACTAGGACAAAACAGCAGGCCAGGAACTGGTGGGTGAGAAACTCTATCAATGCTCTGAGTGATGTCAGTGAATTGACAGGGGCAGCAGACCTAGAGTCTTTAGAGAGGGTCTGTTCTCTCCTCACCATTTTAGACAGCTATAAAAAAAGAACATGAAAAAGTGGATACCTTGCACATACACAAAAATCAGCTCTCGGTGGTTTTAAATCATAAATGTGAAAGGAAACATTGTCAGACTTAAGAGAGAACATTTTTATTCCCTCAGGGTAGAGAAAGATTTCTGGAACAAGGTGCTTTTAAAAGCACAGATCATCTTCTGGCCATGTAGTACGTGTAAGCCTCAGAGGGCAGGGAGTCACCAGCTTCTCTGTGGGGAGGTGGCCAAAGCCAAGGGCCAGCTAGAGGGAAGACCTGGGCCCCATATATATATATACCAGGGGAACTAGTATGAGGCAAAGAGTTTTGGCTTGTGCTCTTGAAAGCACATAACATGACATTAAAACAAATTAAAAAGGAACTTAGCAATTTAGTCTGTGGATTTCCAACATTATGTTCTGGAGGTCCAGTTAACAATAATATGTTTCATTGGCAAGCCACAGTTACGAAGTCTTATGGCAAACCATGTCAAGGTGGTGTATTCTTTTTGGCAATTCATTTTCCTACAGACTACCCCTTCAAAACCCTAAAGTTGAATCTATAGGAACATGTTATCTAACTATTAACAATAATGGCAGCATTTGACATGATATTCTAAGATTACAGTAGTCTCCTGTCTTAATTTCTCAGGATTCCTTTGTTTTCTGCCATATAATCCAAACCTTGATGCCTCCTAGTGCCAAAAATCGTGCAAATCTATAAGTAAGTAAAATATCTCGGAAATGGATTTGGAAGGATGTCATGTGATGATACTTTAAAGTCAGAATAAGCTGTATTATGGCTGGAATGAACTTAAATTACTATATTACCTGACTGCTGCTCTATCAGATCTCTTTTCAAGTTTTATTTTTCTTTACTTCCCTCCATTCATTCATGTGTTAATATGAGAAGTTCTTTTAGTTTTAGATAATTTCTTTTAAAAACTGTAAAGTAGATACAAGCTCAAGATTCAGAATATTAAAAAAAATAGAATATGGGTGTGCCTGGCTGGCTCAATCAGTAGAACATGTGACTCTTGATCTCAGGGTTGTGAGTTCAAGCCCCACGTTGGGTGTGGAGATTACTTAAAAATAAAAGTCTTAAAAAATAATAAATAAAATAAAAATGGAATAGGTGTCTTACATGGCTCATTCTTTATTTTAATTGATAATGAGACCAAAATCATTCCACATTGCTCTCAAATGTTGAAGAGATCATTTGAGGGGGCAGGAGAACCCAGAAATTAGAAGTCAGATGATCTTTCTATTCCAAATTAAGGTTTCAGATATTATGTAAATTTCATTTATTCAAACTCTCTGAGCTATTAAACCGTCTCTCAACAAACTCATTAATATAGTACCATGTAATCGATATAAGCTGTCAATGGATGAGTAATCAACTATTAGTTCGGATGGTATTTAATTTTTTTCTTTAACATAGTTATACAATCCTTTAAATTGGCTGTCTGGATTAATCAATATGGAAAAAATTGTAAATGTAGACCTGGTTTGGGGTGGGGTTTTTTTTGTATATACTGTTGGGATTTAATTTTTTTTATGATTTATTTATTTGAGAGAGAGAGAGAGCATGAGTGGGACAGGCAGAGGGAGAGGGAGACAAAGTCTCAAGCAGACTCCACACTAAGCATGGAGCCCCTTGCAGGGCTCAATCTCACAATCCTGAGATCATGACCTGACCCAAAACCAAGAGTCTGACACACAACCGACTGTGCCACCCGGATGCCCCAGGATTTACATTTTTTTATATCAAGTGACAACAAAAAGTCGTCAAAAGAATAACAATTTAAAAAAGAATATTTGGGGGCGCCTCGGTGGCTCAGTTGGTTAAGTGTCTGTCTTCCCCTCAGGTCATGATCTCAAGGTCCTGGGATAGAGCCCCACATCAGACTCTCTGTTCAGCGGGGAATCTGCTTCTCCCTCTCCCTCTGTGCTCGTGTGTGTGCGCACTCTCTCTCTCAAATAAATAAATCTTAAAAAAAAATAAAATTAAATAAAAAAGAATATTTTGCCACATTCAGGTTATCTTACTGACTGGCCTGATGTAGTCAGAATTTAAAAGCTAATCTGTTAGGGCAGCTTTAGTATGGTGCCCTAAAGTTAGCACCTTAGTGTAAGTAGTAGCTCCAGAATTCAAATACAGACTTAGGACCCAGGGGTTCTGAAAATTGTATTCGGATTAAAGAATTTTCTTTTTTAGGTACAAACTCCAATTTCTCTGCCTTGTATACCTGATAGCTAAAAAACCACAACATGGAATAATAATGGGATGAAATTTACAAATTACTGTCTGTTTTGGTGTGGCCAATGTCCATGAAAATATGTTGAAGTGACTTTACTATATTGGTTGTTGAGTATCCAGTGAAATGGATTTGTTCATTTACATTAATGAGCATTTACTGCAACAGACATCATTTGAGATAACTAAACATGAATAAAACTCATTGCTACTGGATTTTTTAAAGACACAAATTACAAAGGAAAATAATTTTACTAGTCTGAAATTAAGAACTTTACTGATTTGAAAGATATAAAAAGACAAATGTTCAAAAAAAAAAAGACAAATGTTCACCTAAAACACACACAGTATTCGTATCAGGTATCTTTTTAAAATTCCTAAAAATCAGTGAGAAAGAGAAAAACAACCTAATTAAAAATGTACAAAAGATATAAACAGTCAATTCACTGAAGAAGAAATGCAGATGGCCAGAAAAACATTAAACATACTAATGAAGATGGGAATCAATGGGAATTCTTATACACTTCACGTGGGAACATAAATGTTTCCAAACAATTTGGTAAACAATTTGTCATTATCTAATAAAGTTGAAGATGCATGTACCCTAAGACTCAGACAATTCTGTTCCAAGGTATTATATTCTACTAAAGAAAATCCTGCACATTTACATAGAAGACATGTTGGAAATGTTTGCAGCAGATGAACGGATACAGTAGATAAATCTTGGCGCTGCTACATGACTAGTGGTATGAATTTGAGCATGCTATTTTATCTCCTTCAGTGTCAATTTCCTCACCTATAAAGTGAGGATAAGTTTACCTTACATGTCTGTTATGAAAATTAAATGGGAAAATGAATTAAGTACATGGCTTAGTACATAGTAGCCATCAATCTTTTTTTAAGATTTTATCTATTTACTTGAGAGAGGGAGAGTGAGTGAGAGAGAGAGAGAACAAGTCGGGGGGGGGGCAGAGGGACAAGCAGACTCCCCCATGAGCGCAGAGCCTGACGCAGGGCTTGACCCCAGGACCCCAAGATCATGACCTGAGCAGAAGTCAGATGCTTAGCCAACCAAGCCACCCAGGTGCCCCATAGCCATCATTCTTATTACTCAAACTTGCTATCTCTGCTTCAAAAGCTCCTACTGCAAAAGCCCTATGCAACCCTATTATCTATCAACCCCATGTATATAAAAACCCTTAGATCTTCCTTTTAGATAAGAAAGGTCTCCTTCCTATTACTAACGGAGGAAGTGAATTAATCTCTAAAGTTAAAAACAAGTATGAAGCAACTTATGTTTTCTCTCATTTTGTACATATCAGCATGTTAACTTACATAATTTACATAAATATTCCCAAAACCCATGCTGAGATCATGCAAAATAAAGGCACATGATTCAGTAAATTAGTGTGGCAGGTTTGGGATCTGTGACAGGAGTGGTGGAGCTGAGCAGGAGGTTGCGGAGGCATACTCAGATGTCTGTGGGGTCACCTGTGCTCTGTTTTCCCCAGGGCAAAGAAACAGAGTTATGGTGGCCTAAGTCCCCCAAATCTCCTGGGCTGTGGCAATCTTCTTGGCCTTCTCTGGGAAATTATCCTATCAAGAAGGCAGAATAGGGGAACAGAAAACAGTATTTCTGGAATTGTTTCCAGTACAAACTATCATGTTGGGGGAAGGAGGAGCCATTACTGAGCTGTATAACTGTGTGGTGCGGTCTCACCTGTCCCACATATGGGTAGGCATCTTCAGAGTCAATGCCCCGGTTCTTCTGCACATACTGGAAGGCATTGGTCATGTAGCCCCCTCCGCAGCCATCATTCTCAGAAACACAGTCTACCAGGTTCTGCGGACTCAGATTTAAGAGTTTGCCAGTTTTCTTCTTGAGTTGGCCCTCCAGGGCACCCACAGAGCTAAAAGCCCAACAGGAACCACACTGACCCTGAGAGGCATAACAGAGCAACTATCAATCACTGCTGTTCACCTTTTTGTTTCTTCCCTCTAAACTGCCTGATGAAATTCCAGCACACATGTCCCCTTTTCTGTGAAGTCTTCCTATTTCCCTTTGTTTAATATTTGTTACATTTTTCTATTGTTTTTGTTTGCATTGATAACTGTTGTTACCATTGTTACCATTGGCTGTAGGGGGGTGGAGCACTGGCTTTGCAACCCAGAAGATCTGTGACCTTGAGGAAGTTACTAAACCTCTCTGTGCCTTATCTGTAAAATGTGGATAACTGCTCAATTATGGATTATGGAGATTTAAAAGTTAATTCATGTAAAGGATTTAGAAGTTTCTGACACACAACAATCTCTCAAAAAGTGCTATTACTATTAGTGTTTGTTCAACTAGATTATACGTTTTCTTTCTTCCCTGTTCTATTTTTTAGGACTGAGAATTTCTTGAGGACACAGGTTATGGCTTAGTCATATTGAATCTCCACTGCCTAGCACTATACCTGGTGGGTTCTGAAAAGGATGTTTGTTGGATGAATGTTAACGCAGTTGTTGATCTGGTTGATATAATCAGCGTTATTAAGATTGAGGGGAAAGTGGCATTCTCCTGCTGGTTAGAGTGTTAAGATCGTAAAAAAATTTTTTGGAAATGGTTCTCTGTGACCTAGCAGTTCCAATTTTAGGGTTTATTTTGCATAAGTATTTGCACATGTACATGAAAACATATGCACAAGGGTGCTTACAGCAAGACTACTTGTAAAAAAGAAAAAAACAGAAACATAAATGTACAAAAATAGGCAATGACTCAAATAACAGAATAGGCTATATTCTCTTAGCACTGGGAGAGATCACTTAATTCCTTGCCCCCTCTTCCTAGTTCCCTCCTACCTTAAGAACAAAGAAGCAGAAAGAGGTCATGCCAGGAGAAAGGAGGGTACCTGGTTCTTGACAGGCGTAACATATCCTTTCTTTCGATAATCAATGGAGTCTGGAGCTCTGCTTTCCCAGTCTGGGATATAGAGGGTATCATTACTGTGGGAATGAGAGGGGGGTACTTTGAGTCCAGTCATCTTTTGAACCACCTCTTCACTGGTCTGGGACAAAGAACAAAAAGGCAAGGCATTAGCAGGGAACTAAGGCAAACAGGGCAAGTAGGCCAGGAGCTGAGGTTCAACTCACCATGTCCCCCAAGTGGTTCATGGCCAGTTCATATGTATGGACACCAAGAGAGGCCTCAAGATTATGGATGGAAATATGCTTCAAGTTTTTTTCCCAAATTAAACGCCGAGAGATTTCATCCACCTAAACAGAGCATAGTCAGTACTGGCACCTGTGTATAAAGTTACATAAGTAATAATGTGGAGGTTTTTAGAAGATGAAACTTAAAATCATACAGAGTTTACAGTCTAGTTGGGGAACTCACCACGGAATTATTAAGAGCATACAAAAAGAAATATGCAAATACAAAAAATAGAATGCAAAGCTCTGGAGAGATGTACAGAAAATTGCTTATGGATGAACAGCATTCATCTGAGAAGCCTTCCCCAAAGAGAAATGTGACAGTTATAAAGAAAAGGTCAGAACTTGAGGGAGGGTGAGTCAAGGAGTAGGAATGAAACTGTATGTTAAGTTAGAGAACAGGGGCAGGTTTCCTTGGTTGGAGTGGTTAAGGTATTCAGATTGAAGAAGGGAGTCTGGAAATTAAGACTTGAGGTCTCCAGTTCCAGCTCCCCGACCATGCTCCCCTCTAGGTCCCCAGGCACCTTGTTGTTATACTGCTTCCCGTAGGTCTTCTTCCATAGCTCCCATTGGGTGTTCAGTATCTCCTCAGGATATAGAGCAAAGCTTGCCATGGGCAGCAGCAGCAGAACCTCGAGCCCCCACATCCTGGGAAAGGGGATAATTAGGGGAGATTCTTCTGTTTGCCAAGGGGTTCATAGCCTGGCTTGGGATGAGGAAACAGCTGAAGCTATATTCCCAGACAGGTGGTTCTTAACCTTTGGGAGTCATGGACTCCTTTGAGAAGCTAATAAAATATTGTAACCCATTATAGTCCCACTCATCCGAAAAATGCATGCACACACAATAATTCTGAGGAATTCATGAACCCAAAGATAAGAACGCCTTCCTTGGGACCATGATGCAAAGGAAAACAAGGATTTATAAGAATAAAAGAATTGAGGGTGATTTGCATATGATAAACAATGATAGGAAGGGTCTGGGTTTGGACTGGGTGCTGATATATTTGGTTCCAGGTATTCTGACCTAGGGAGATTACACTTACACACACACACACACACACACACACACACACACACACACACACAACCAGAAATGGGATAGAAAAAGGACAATCAGAATGGACTCGGCACCTGTTTCCTCCAATGTCCCCTGCAGACTTGAAGGAGATGGACAAGGTTGGAGGTTGGAAGGGGGTTGGAGAATACACAAAGGAGAGATTTCCAGCTAAGTTTTGCTTCCTGACCATTTCTTCAAGGCATTTACTCCCTTGCCCTAAATTCTGATACTTTCCCAGATCTTGCCAGGAGAGGACCCAGAACAGCTGACAGTATCTCCTATTCTCTAGATGTTTACTGTCTCCTTAGTCTTAGGCATTTCTTCCTCTTTCTCTTCCTGCTCCCTCCTCAGGCAGGAAACTGCCCGTAATCTCAACCAGATGCTGTGGGCAGTAAAGTTTTTCTTTTCCCGACAACAAAAAATCTCTGTGATTGCCTCACAGGCCAAAAAGCTTCAGAACCACAGTTTGTTAGAAGAATGTAAGACAAAAAAGCAGTGTTCTATGATCATTAAATTCACAGCTTTCAGAAGTTTACTCTAGCTTCACTCATTTCTTACAGCGGCTTGCTTAATTCCATGTTCCCCATTTTAAGAACAATTTACAGTCGAAGCAAGTTATACAGCTTGCATCATTTTTGATTTTACAGTCCCATTTTTGTGTAATCTTTGTAGACTGGCAAAACATTCAATAAGACATTTAATATCTGGAGAGTTAAGGGCTTTGAGACAGAGTATAAAAGCACCTCTGGGCACCAGTCCTCCTCCCCGCTAGCAAGTTAACCCTTCTGGTATCTTTGGCCAAAACAGAAAACCCTACAAGGAGAGGCCACTCTTTAAGGGATGGGCAAAGGATTCCCTATATCCTTAGCTTTCACTAACAACTATGTATACATACATATAAATCGTAGCAGGAATCCTAAAGATTTCCAGGCAAATTTTATTTGGCCAGGAAATGACCTAAGATGGGCATATTGCTGTTTTCACCTACACAGCCTACAAATCTCAACCTTATCCCCAAATCACTACATCCCTAATACCCCTAAAATGGAGAAAGGAAGGAATGAGAAGCTAAAAGATCTAGCAAGTAGAAAATGTTACCTTCTGATAGGGATCTGTGCTCTGGGCTCCGTTCGCTGGGGAGTGTGGATATGTGGGCGGAGAACTAGGGGTGCTGGATTTATTCCATCAGGATTGCGGAAGTCAGTTTCAGCTGTGGGCTGGAAAATTTGAATAGGGGAGGGAGGCGGGGAAAGAAATGCTGAGAGAAGCAGGGTTGGGAACGGAAGGAGGCAGCGGATTTGCAGTGTATCTGTGTGAGTATGGAGTGTGCACGCCAGGGTGGAGAGTTGCTAGGTATTTAGTTTCACATGACTGTCTTTGAGGGCAGACAAAAGACTTCAATACACATTACACAAGTTGGGGCTTACCTTCACTTTGATGGTTAATAGGACACAGTCCTGGTCTCCCCCATCCTTCTTTATTGTTTTTATTATATTGGGGATTACATCTTCTCCTGTCCTTTCCCTGTTATCACCCATCTCTCCAACTCTGAAACCTTAGTTTTCAAATTTGTGTCTGACCCTCACAGCAAGGATGAGGGAATAAATACAAAAGACTAGAAAAGAGTATGTAGGAAGCCAAAGGCTCCAAAATCACTTGTAGTTTATAAGCTTGTTGGCTAAAAGTTGTCAGTAGCGCTCCCAGCCTAATAAGGTTTTGCTGAGGAAGGATAGGCCCAGAAAGTCCAGATGAAACTGGTTCTAAAAGTAACAACAACAAAAACCCAAAAAGAAACAGTACTCCGAGTTATTAATGACTTTACTTGAATCAATGCCATAAGCACTGACAAACTCACATGTGACTTCTTTGTTGCTAAAATTCTCAGATGGTGGGATGCCTGATGAACACTATCTGTTTCAATTATTAAAATCCCTGATCCAAGACCAGTCATGTGAGCTTCTCCAAATGATTCCAACATCCAGGCATGTGACAGATCATAAGAGTCTAGTTCAGTCCCTAAACCACATCCCCAAACTCCCATTTTCTTCCATAAATAGAGATGGGGGAAGAGGAAAAGACGGTCCTTGGAACAGAAAAGATAATACATAGGACAGATTCAGTTCCACCTGGATTGCATACATAGACCCTCAAGAGCACAGGTTTATGCCTGTAAATTTTAAGATTTGCTAATGAACCATATGGTCCTAGAGGGAAACCAAGTCCAGACCTGAATAGTTTAAATTTCCCCATCCCTAATTCCTTTTAATCCAGGAGAGCAAGACATACTAGGCGGAAGGGATCCGATGTGCCATACTGATCTCAAGTCCCATCCTCTGTCTCCTGTGGAGGACTTGGGCAATTCCCCAACTCCCATCTCATGGTCAGATGTCCCTGCTGATTTTACTCAGAATGAGTCAGGATCAGGAGGACAATCAAGGAGTGCTGAGTGATCAGAGCCCTATGATTTCTGAATCCTGAAATTATAGACACACTGTGCTTCATGTCTGCATATTTGGAGTTCAAGCTATGGATTCAACTAGTTGTGGGTATTTGTTGTTTATGAGCTGGAAAGGAATAATAAAAGCCGCAATCAAGATCACACAACACAAGAAAGTTTACAAAAGGAAAATATTTTAAAATCTTTGCTACATGTCATTATTTTTGCCACTGTAAAGCTCAGCACAGATGCCAGCAGTACAGAAATGGCCAACAAGAAAAAAAACAAAACAATCAAAAATAAAACCCTGAAGGAAAAGCAGAAACAAAACCCCCAGAGCATCTTCGCCCTCCCCTCTCCTTCCCCAAAAGCCCTATAATAACTGTACAATATTATAGTCCTGATCACATTTAAAAACAGTCAATTATTAAAAAACAAGGATTCCATTGGAAACTCAACTTTTTGGTTTCTCAAATTGTGATATAAATATATATGTATACGGTATGTGTGCACATAGAATAAAAAAATAAACTGTCTCCTTTTCAACTCCACTACCTGGCACCAGAGGTTTTCAACACCAAAACTACCTGTTTTGGAGACAAAAGGGAGAGAAACCCAGTAATGATGCTCTCTCAGCCTCTCTAAGGCCACTGTGCTCCTCAGTCTCCTATGGCTATGTGTAATACGTCTTCTCCTTATTTAATTCAGTCTTGCACTTAAGATACTGGCCTGAGCCAATCAAAAAAAAAAAAAAAAAAAAGGCTGATACATACGACTGTTACCTGAGGAAGGTAGAGAGTGAGAGGAGTAACTGGTATCTGCATTTTATATGGCTATAGTTAACTCAGTGACCCTGTCACAATGGGAGTCCAGGCCCCATCTATCACATGGATTTATACTCTTGCATCAGAAAGCAAAATCCAATCTTAAGACTGGAGGGAGTAAAAGGAAGAACTATAGGTCCAGAAAAGACCTAAGTCTCAGTTTCTAGCCAGACTGAATTGAGCATGGTATGAAAGAGGCTACTTTGCAAAAAGGCTTGGTATTTGGTTTGAACTCCAGCAGTGAAGATTTCACTGGGACTGCTAATCCAAGAAGTTGAGTTTCCATGCAGAAATAACCTCTACAGAACACACATCATATGTGATTCTGACAGAAAAATGCAGCAAGTACGGCCAAGTATGGGGTTTTTGAAAGGGGTTTATCTTCCCACCCTAAACACCTATAATGTTTGCAGATCTTCCATATAAGGTGAGAGCACCAAAAGCAGGAACAACCCAGCTTTACCACTAAATATGTTCGATGAGAGACACCAACCATATCAACAGAAGACTTTATATATTTACTTACAGTTGCATACTGGCTGGGCACTGATGTAAGTGCAGCAAAGACATTTATTTAAATACTCTTTGGCTGCAATACTAAGTGGAAAATACCTAGAAGATTTAACTCCTTAGGACTCTTTGAAGAATACACAGAAAAACAAAGATAAAATCTGGGACAAATTTTGCATAACTCCCTAATAGGGAGAAAAAAAACAAACATAGAAACACACGTGTGCACATATATGGGTGCGCACACACACACTCTCTCTTTCTCCCTCTTCCTCTCTCACTTCCTCACTCACCAGGCAGCAGAAAGAGCCTACACTCACTTCCTGAAGCCCTATATATACCTACCATGTTTCATGGTCCTCAAATATGAAAACATTTCTCCTTTCCCCCACCTTATTCAGAATTTCTTTCCAAAAACAAGCCACAGTATCCAAGGCAAATAGTGGATGTCAGGTTCTCTAACCTGCCTCTTGACCCTAGCACAATCATTTCTGCACAAATCTCTGGTCAGGAGACATAAGGAAAGGCATTCTTAACTTCACCCAGCCTCAGTTTTCAAAGGATCCCCAAAGCCTTCAGGATTCGCCCCATTTCTTCTACAAATGTTATCTCAGAAGAAGGGCAAGGAAAGGCCCAAAGGGGAAGGGGGTACACATTAGGGGTGAGGGAAGGGAAGGGAGAGGGACTTTTATTCTCTTTACAGAAAAGATTTGCTTTTTAAAAACAGTGATTTTTCTCCCCCACCCCTTATCCTCACCCCAATAGTTCTATTCTGAAAAGGAGGGAAACATAGTTAGGTCAGGGAATTCTTCGTTGTTGTAGCTGTTGCTCTGGTCTCCCAGCATGGACAGCATCTCCTGATAAGAGAAACAGAGCAAGTCTGGTCACACACCTTAATCCCTCACATTTACCGAGCTTCTTCCCAACATCACCCCTAGCCCCACAGAAACACCAGAGCTCCCTGAGCCTTCCCTACTCCCGGGAACTCTCAGATTCCTTTACATAACAATTTTGGTTCCTAGTCCCTTCTCTAGCTTCCTCCTACAGTTCCACATTTTTCCTCTTTTCTAGTCTTCCATATTTTCAAAAGGAGAAAAATCTGCTCGCCACATTTCATATAACCCCCTGTGAACACATATGCAGTACCTCTTACCCTATTCATTTTCCACCAAAACCTGTTTTGCCTTCTTTCAACCTGTGTTTTAAATGAGCTCTTCTTTTGTCCTAAGATTACTCCATGTGCTCTTGCAGTCCTGTCAGGACTTAGGCAAATGGGCCTTTATAGCTACAATCAGTATGTTTATACCCAAGCTACTGTGCAGTGGGGATGTGGCTCTCCTTGAATGGGCTAGAGTGACTTCCTTTAACATCTTCACATGGTGCTTCACATCACTAACAATGGTCTGGTTAAAGGCTGTGCATCACACATAAGTTCCATTTAACGACATCTATCCCTACACGTCCCCACTCTGGCTTCTCCCACAAACTCCCAAACACCTCAGTCCATATGCATACTTCCTTCTCTGTCTCTGCTCCCTGACCCTTTCTCCACCAGGTTCTGATTTTCTGAAGTCTTTTCACCCTCTCACCTGGAAGACCTCAGGCTGGCCAGGTTGCTGTGCTGATGGCTGTTGAACATGTTGCTCATTAGAACTCGACCGATGATGAGGCTGCTGGCCCTGCCACTGTGGCCAGACACCTACACCCTCTGCTGTCCGTGTCTGGAATTGTCCTGTAGTCTGTCCAGTCTCAGGAGCTAGAAATATAGCGAGGATGAACAACCAACCTTAAGCCACTAACTCCCCTGGTGAGGAGAAACTAGCACTTAAATACTTTCTGCTCTTCTGTTAATCAATGCCTCTTCTTTTTCAAAACCTAGCCCCAAATTCTTCTCTGGGTAGCCTTTCCAAAGAGTCCTTTGATCATGTAGATTAAATTTGCTTATTATTTAATATATAATACCTCATGTGGTTTTTTTTTAAGATTTTTATTTTATTTATTTTTTTAAGATTTTATTTATTTGAGAGAGCGAGAATGAGAGAGAGAGAGAGAGAGAGCACATGAGAGGGGGGAGGGTCAGAGAGAGAAGCAGACTCCCCGCCGAGCAGCAGGGAGCCCGATGCGGGACTCGATCCCGGGACTCCAGGATCATGACCTGAGCCGAAGGCAGTCACTTAACCAACTGAGCCACCCAGGCGCCCTTAAGATTTTATTTTTTATTTATTTGACAGAGAGAGACACAGCGAGAGAGGGAACACAAGCAGGGGGAGTGGGAGAGGGAGAAGCAGGCCTCCCGTGGAGCAGGGAGCCCGATGCAGGACTCGATCCCAGGATCCCGGGATCATGACCTGAGCTGAAGGCAGACACTCAACCGACTGAGCCACCCAGGTGCCCCACCTTATGTAGTTTTTTTTAATATGTTCTAAAGTCTTCCTCATGTGGGTACATTTTAAATTCCAAATGGACTGTCACTGCACCCAGGACACAAACTGTTTTAACTACCAAATCCTTTCTCTTTAGTGGTGTCATTTTCTTGTTTACCCTCCTTTCTCATCTGAAACTTACCAAAGTTGGATCCACGATTGGTGAGATTAGGGTAGGCAGCAGCACCAGGTGATGCAGTAGAAGCACCAGGAAGGGACATGGGGCTGAAGGAGGACGGAGTCTGAAAGTTGCCCACACCAAACTGGGAAGAACGAGTCTTGGCTGTAGCCTGAGTAGCCACCTGCTGAAAGAGAGAAAGGGATAGAGAACAAATGGAACATTAACATTATTGCACATGCCATTCCTATGAGTCAACCCTCTGTCAATCACTGGATTCTTCTGAGCTAAGCTCATCACTTATTTCTTACTCTTTCTTCTAATTAATGTCAGTCTCCTTTGACACTACTTTTAGACAGGTATGGCAATGTGCAAACAGCAAAGAATTATGGGATTAATAAACTATACACTGAGAGTTGTGAGAATTTTCCCAGTTTTTATTTTCCTATTCATTTCTTATGCAATTGAGATCATACTACATATAACAATTTTGGAGTATGCTTTTTGGTTTGGGCTTTTTTACTGAAGATATTACTGTGCAATATAAGCATATAATAATATATGAAAGAATATTAGCTTTAAGCTTATCATATATATAATATATATTACATAAGGCTTTTAAACACTTTTTTTAATAAATAGACATCACTGTGTGTAAATCATAGTTAATTTTCTCCTTTATTCCTATGCTTTCTAGTACAAAATGGAAACTCAGAATTGACTCCAAGACAAATCTGTAAATCAAACCAGTTTAACATGTTCTGTGTGAGCAATTCTGAATAAAAGTATATGAAAACCAGAGATTCTGAGATTTGGGGATTATCTATGTTTTTAATTATCTAGCTACTCCCAACAAAGAGAAAAACTGGAAGGTAGGGGGTGGGGGTTGGGGAGAAGATATCTAAGATAGATGACAGTAATTTTACATATGGAAAAAAGCCCAACCAACCAAGGAAAAGCTAGTACACAGGGGACAGACAAAGGAGAAGCTTTACCTGGGCAGAGAAGCCTGGACGGGTGCTAGGGGTCCAAGTTGGGGCTGCTCCCTGGGGGGGATTGGAGTGGCGGGAAATCTGGGCCAACATCTGCCCTGCAGAAGCTGATGGCTGGACAATGGTTACAGGAGGGGCCAGACCACTATTTCTAGGAGTGAACAAATAGTGTAAAAGATTAAAAGGATGGGTTTACCATTTCAAAATCTAGGAATCACGGGACAATCTAGTGCTATTACTAGGTCCCCTTGACTTCCCTGGGGTTAAGGAAAACTTGATAACAAAATCTGGAAAAGATGAGAAAAACTGACAGTCACACACCAATCAGGACAGAGATGGAACCTATAACATAGCAACAGGACAGGTGCAAAGAAAGAGGAGGAAGAAAAGCAGCTTGCCTCATCTTAAACCCTACAAGTTCTACTGCTTTGTCTGAAATAACCAGAGAAAGCTAGGGAAGAATAAAACTTGGATTCAGCAACTGAACGCCTCAGTTGCCCCGTAAAGCAGCACATACATAAGGGGCTCACCTGAAATTCTCTGCCGGCCGGGGGGTAGGAGGGAATGTGTTGCCCTGTGAGAATAGCTGTTGGGTGGCAGGGACAGTGCTGGAGGAGATGCCTTTACTCTGATCTGTGGACCAAAAGGAGTGGGGGGAGGGCCAGTCAAGGGGCTGTAGTCCATTAGTTCAGCAAGTTCCTATTTACTCATGAGCTATTATGATTAAGTGGAAAGATGTCGGGCAGCAGCAGGCACATCAGTAAGTGATCTGAATGAGAATTTAAAAGGAGAGTGAGGAAGAACATACCCGCATTGATGTTGGAGTAGATTTCTGAAAATCTTGGATCTCTATCCTGGGCAAATAAACCATCTGTCTTCTCGAGGGGCTTGCTGTGTTCTGGCCCTGCGGTTGTCACAGGCTGAACAGAAACGTAAATGATAAAAATAACCATGAAAGATTTAACATGACATTCAATAACCCTAACATTCACATAAAGATACACATACACTCTAACTGGCACTGGAGGACATTTCTTAAGGAAATGATCACAATCTTCTTCAAAGAAGACGACACACTTACCTGGGAATGATTGTAGCCAGCCAGTCCATCTCTTGCTGATACCACATCCAGTTCTGTTTGCTGTTGCTGTTGTCTATATGTTAAAGGCCAGTGAGGAGAGAAAGATTTTTTTTTTAATGTGGGGAAAGGGCTTAAAATAAACAAACAAATGGGATTACAGATGCCCACTCCCTGGGCCACTGATCATTTATGATTCTTCTACCATTTCTCACCTGGATGCCAACTGCCCTGAGCCCATCTCCAGGGGTAAATTAGCTGTGGGACCTAGCTGTGGTCTCTGGATTGTGTTGGACAGTGTAGGCCTTGGTTCCTGGCTGGAGTTCCTGAGAAAATGGAGAGCAGACAGAGGGGGAAGAAAGGATTTAACACTGTACATAAAACTGTATATATTCACTTGTAAGTGAGGCAGTAACTAATAAATTCCCTTTTGAAGTCTAATCCTTTAAGTAACATATGACTTCAAATTCAGCAGATATTTCATACCATGGGCGACAAGGTACAAACAAAAACTATGTCCTGTGGCACAAGGGTTTATCCTGTTTGGGTTCTAACTCGTTTCAGGTATTCAATATTGTGTTTTTTAAAAGCGTAAGTAAAAAAACTGTACATATACAAACATTAACAAAGACTCTTTTTGTGTAGTGAAAATTTTTTTCCTTTATAGTTTTCCATACTTTCCAAATTTTCTGTAAAAAAAATGTTTCTTTAAAAAAATGTAAGAATTAAAATAAACTGTGGTGGGGAAAACAGTATGTAAAAATGGGGAACACCATTTCCAAAAACAAGTTCTTAAAAGTACTTAAAATTTCAAAATTTAAACAAAATGGAAACACAAAACAGTGGTTATTCTGTAATATAAAGATGTAAAAACAAAAAGAAACCCCAGAAAACTACAGTGACCATGACCATTACCTGAGTCCTAAGTAAATAACAATTTCTAACTCAATCCACTCTGCTATCCTAATTAGAAAAGAATTAAACTAAAATAAGGAAGACACAGACTCAGTGTTGTCACCAGGTATTATTTATACTTGATAATCAATTCTAAGCAGATCTTCAAGAGCTAGGCTCAGGGCCAATTCTATATAGATAGATTAAATGAAAAAGAAGTAACCTGTCAACTGACATCCACTGGGATGGGTATAATAAAAAAGATAGTAAGAATGTGGAGAAACTGGAACCCTCATTACATTGCTGATGGAAGTGTAAAAGGGTACTGAAGCTTTGGAAAACAGTGTGGCAGTTCCTCAAAAGATTAAACACAGAGTTACCATGTGACCCACCAATTCCACTCCTAGGTATATACCCAAGAGAATAAAAACATATCTACATAAAAACTAGTATATAAATGTTCATAGCTGTGCTCTAGTCAGAAAATAGAAATAACCCCAATGTCCATCAACTAACGAATAAATAAAATGTATCCCCGTACAAAGGAATATTATTTGGCAATAAAAAAAATTAAGTACAGATAAATGCTACAACCACAGATGACCCTTAAAACATTATACTAAGCAAAAGAGGTCAGTAACAAGGAATCATGTATTGTTATGATTCCATTCATGTGAAATGTCTAGAATAGCCAAATTTATAGAGACAGAGAATAGATTAGTTGTCATATAGGGCTTGGGGAACGGGGAGGATGACTGTTAATGAGTACAGAATTCCTTTTAGGGGAAATGAGGATGTACTGAGATTAGGTTGTACAACTCTGTGACATACGAAAAAAACTGTACATTTTAAAAGGGTGTACTTTATAGCATGTGCAATCTATTGCAATAAAACTGGTTTTCACCAAGTTGAGAAAGAAAAGCTCAAACAGAAAGGAATCAAGGAACAGAAACTATGCTCTAAAGTAAACTATGGTCCATGGGCCAAATCCAGTCCACTGCCTGTTCTTGTAAATAAAAGTTTGTTGGAACATAGCCATCTTTGTTCATTTCATTTGTCTAGGACTCTTTTCATGCTACAATAGCATAGTTGGGTAATTCAATAGAGACCATATGCCCCACAAAGCTAAGATAATTACTATCTGGCCTTTTACAAAAAGAGTTTGCAGACACCTGCTCTACAGGAAAATCCTACCAGAACACAGCAATAAACTGGTATATAAAACAATATCCTTTCTAGAAAGCGTTGAAGCATAAAATTAAAATACAAACCCTTCACATCTCAGAACTTACTCTCTAAAGTACTGTTTGTTAAAAATCTTATTCTACCTGGATGAACTAATCTACATCCCATAGTAAGTTGGAAGATGAGGAACTTCAAACCAATGGTGTTTAGTAGAAGAAGAAACAGCTTGATAAGGCTAAGCAGACTTGGCCCACGAGAAATCCCAACATTGTAAAAGGCCTTTACGGTACATACTTCACATTGGTGTTGGTACAGATGATGTACTCAATTTCATCTGAGTAAGGGTTCTGGAAAGTAAAGGAGCTGGTTCTCATCCAGAGCCATTCTCGGTTCTTAGACCGGAACCGGAACATGACAGACAGCACCTGGCCTTTTAACTTCACCACCTGAAAAAGTTTTCATGCTTTCAGTGAAATCCATAAAAAATTTTTAGAATTTTTTTTTTAAATTTCCCATTTCTACAAAGGTTAAGATTGGTGTGTTACTGTCCTTGAAGTACCAGTCTCTTTCAACATTACTGATGAAACAACACACGGAGTGAAAGCTAAGTGCTAAATAATGAGGAGGTATATTTATTTTTCTTCCCAGAGTCCCAAGCAGCTAACTGACCACTCTAGTCAAAGTTAAACAGAAGTAACAATTTTTTCCAGGAAAATAAAGACTATTTCCCCACTTCTCTTGGAAAATCCCTTAAAGATATGTGGATCTAGCTTTATAAGTCTATCATAGAAATTTGTAGTTTGATACTGAAATAGCTTACATATTGCTCCTCTATCCTAGGTTTTCCCCCCAAACCTGAGAATTTGTTTTCGCAGCACCCTTGGAGGTTTCCATAAATAAAACTAAGTTGGCTTTAGTCTTGTTTTTTTAAAATAAAGTAATTTTAGGGGCACCTGGGTAGCTCAGTCATTAAGCGTCTACCTTCAGCTCAGGTCATGATCCCAGGGTCCTGGGATCGAGCCCCGCATTGGGCTCCCTGCTCCTCAGGAAGCCTGCTTCTCCCTCTCCCACTCCCCCTGCTTGTGTTCCCTGTCTCACTGTGTCTCCCTCTGTCAAATAAATAAAATCTTAAAAAAAAAAATTAAAAAAAGAAGTGATTTTAGATTTTAGTTCCTAGTTTTATGAAATAGAAAATCTTTTGACCCTCCCTCCCTAACAATAAAAAAGTAAAATTAGAAGCTAACATTTATTTTGTAGTTACTATATGTCAAGCACCGGGCTATGTGCTTTTCTTTATTTTTTAAAGAACATCAAATCTGGGGTGCCTGGGTGGCTCAGATGGTTAAGCATCTGCCTTCAGCTCAGGTCATGATCCCAGGGTCCTGGGATTGAGCCCTGCATCAGGCTCCCTGCTTGGGGGGGA